AATTTTGACATAAATATGACATTTTTATTTAGAACGAGTCTTATCCTATTTGATTTTAACATATATATATTTCCTATATTAATTTCATGTTTAATTTCTAACCTTTACAATTTTATAATTTGGTTCTTTCCATCTTTATGTGAAATATACACAAACATATTGTCCAATGAATCTTATTCACGACCTTTCAAGTTTGTCACAATCATATCATCACCACTAATTGTCCTTTTGTACTTGGGAGCAATATTACCATTAAGCCTTCAGGCATGTGTCGCATACAGTATATTCATAACATTAATATTACCAATAATATTACACGTTAAAAGACCTGAATATCCTTATCATGAAGAATCAGCACTTATGTCAATAATGTTCTTATTAAGACAAGTTTTTCGAGGAAATTTTATAAAAGAACAACTTATTGACTCACCAATTGTACGTCCAATTCAAGATACTATTAATCTCGATAAAAAGATATCAAAACTTTATTCAACGATAATACCAAACAAAATATTACAATCAGTAGATTTTTTTTATCATAAATTGAGAATTGGTATTGTTATTGGATTTTGTATTGGATTTTGTGCTATTCCTATAACTCTTATTTGTTTTTTCATTGAACCACCATTTGATAGAGCCATTAAACAATTAAAACAATTTTCATCTCAATGGGCAACACGTAGGGATGGAAAAGATAGAAAGACTAATTCTTCTAATGATATTGAAGGGAATTTATTGAACATTCTTTGCTCTGTGGTGTTACTTTTCTGCTTAAAAGTGGCAATGTTGGTTCCTTTAATTTTATTTGTAACGGGATTTTATTTATATGGACTTAGTGTATACGTTTATTTGGGGATAGAACGATTATTTCAGTTCATTTGTCAAAACATTTTTTATCCTTCCATTATCGTCATTTGTAGTTTGAAGACTGGGATTGATTCGACTTCTTATTTCCCCCTGGTTGGGCTTGAGAAAGAGTTCTAAAAAATTGTGGTTGTGGTGGTTTCTTTATTATGAGTGTGAATTGTGAGTGTGAATTATGAGAATGAATTATGAGAGTGAAACATTTTAATTTTTACTTTTATGAAGCGAAACAGAAATCAAAAAAAGAAAAAAAAAATCGAAATAAATAAAAACAAAAGATTTATATTTGATTGTGTTTCTTTGTGTAAAACATTTAGGGGCAAATCATCAGAAGTTTTTTTTAATATTTTATAATTATTGTTATTTTATAAAGAGAGTGTCAAAATA